AATCTCCGTCACAAACTCTGTCTGAAACTCCTATAAATGTTTTTCTCTTCTCTCTGATGAACTTGCTGAGGTGTATGAAAATATTTTTAAGAAACGATCAATTATTAAGCAGATTGTCTATTATCTAAAAGTTGCTGAAAGAATGCACATTTAGGAAATTATTGACATGCTAAATCATCAAAAGTTCAATAATATCTTAGAGTGTAGTATCAATTACAACGAGGACATGGTTAGGCTGTTTTACACTGGTTTGAAAAGAAAATTCACTGATTATGACTTTGCTTACAAGTTTGGGAATAAGATCTTAAAGGTTGATAGCACTGATTGGAGAGACCTGTTTGATATGTGTCATCGTCTGTCTCCTGATCTTAACATAGCCGATACTAAATTGGTTCTCGGTTATGATTTTAAGTATGCACTGAATTATATGTTGAAAGACCCTTATCTAGAGGAATTTGTTACAAGTGATCTCTTTCCAAAATCTGTCACTACTAGTTTGTTAAAGCGACAAGATAGAATCCTACAATGGATTATTTCTCATATTCTATGACCAGAGAAGGGAGGACATTCTAGAGTTGATCAAGCCGAAGCGCACTTGGTTTATCTGCTCAAGAATAAAAAAGAAGGTAAATTGGCCATATTATGTTTCTAGTCGTATCTTTGACGTGAAGGAATCTGGTAGAGGGTCAACCTTATGCTACGGGTCATTTATCCAAAGCATATTGGATCGTGCTAAAATTGTTGTTCAGGACATTCCTTACATCTCCATCTCTAGTGACCAAGAGTTTAGTCCAAAGACTCTAACTCTGACGGGGTACATTTGGGATCAACAAGCAAAGAGGTATATGGTCAAGATTAAGGGATCAAGTGCAAGGATTCGGGATTTAGATGAGGATGAGGAGGAAGAAGAAGATGAAGATGAGGAAACTCATCATATGGATATCGAGCCTCATTTTGACGGTTATGATGATAATGCTTGGTTAGGTGTTTCACCAGTGCATGATCCTTATGCTAACTAAGGATGGGGATTTTGGCAACAAAATGCTTGGACTAACCAAGGCACCACTTATATGCCTCCTTCTCCACCTCAATATCAAACCGATAATTCTGAAGTTCTTGATATGCTATGGAATATGCACTTTGAGCAACAGAATTTTGCAGCCCTCCAATAACAAAGGTTTGAAGCTATGCAGGGCCAGATTCAAGCGCAAAATGAAAATTTTGATCTGTTCACGTCAAGAGTTTTAAGCAGGTTTGATAATATGGCTGAAACAGCGGCAAGTCAACATCGTGCTCTTTCAGTTAGCTTCAACACGCTCAACAGGAGTGTTCTTAGTTTGACTGAACACCTAGATGCGCAAGGAGCTTATAATCAGGATCATTCCTTCAAGGGGAGGGGTCAACCACATAAGGGCAGAATACCTTAGATTATTGAGTTGTGTTGGTGTCCTGCATATCATTTGGAATTTTGTTTTGTGTTTGGTTTTGTTTTGTTTTTGTTATTTTGATTGTCTTGAGACATGTAATGAACAAATTCTGGTGTGTAATGCATTAATATTTCTTCTATATGTTTCTTGTGCTATTTAACTCTATATTCCTTGCATTAGCAACATTATATGTGGATGTTTGTTGATGACTTATCTGTTGCAAAGCATATGTTTGCATATATATGAATGTGATTTGATTACAAATGACCATTTGCTTCACTCTTTTTGATGTTGTCAAAGGTGGAGAATGCAAAAGCAAGTGTTTCACAAAGAAAAATTAGAATTTCACAAAGGGAAAAATGCATACAGTCAGAGGGAGAATGCTTTCACAAAGGGAAAAATGCATACAATCAGAGGGATAATGCTCTTCATAAAGTACTCAATGTGTGGAAAGTTTTGCAAGGTTTTTGTCATCATCAAAAAGGGGAGTGTGTGAGGGTAAGGTTCCTTTTACTTTGTTTTAATGATGTCAAAACTAGGAAAATTTCGTACTTGTGTATTTTGGACGGTATCGTCTTGTCTTAACTTGCGTTCATTATTTTAACATGCGCGTAATGATCCACATACATGAACCTAGGCACATAGGAACATACTCTATGTATAAAATGTATTTTAAATCATGTTTGATGCATTTTGTCAACACATACTAGGCATAGGTCGACTTACAATTGACAAAAATAGTGTTTGTGAGATTCTAGCATCCTTGCGTCGACATACAGCTACTGTATAGGTCGACGCATGTTGATTGATAACATCTTGGAGCTCTCAGGTGCTCATACGTCGATGCATGTTAGGGTTCAGGTCGACACACAATTTGATTTGGTGTGCAGGTTTGCTTACTGGCATGTTCAGGTTGACTCACAGGTTGTGGAGGTCTACCTCTCGCGCGTTTTAGCACATTTTTCTGCATCTTTATGATTCAAAAGTATGTTATCTCTGTTATGTTTTCATACTATATATATATATATATATATATATATATATATATATATATATATATATATATATATATATATATATATATATATATATATATATATATATATATATATATATATATATATATATATATATATATATATATATATATATATATATATATATATATATATATATATATATATATATATATTCATATGCATCATCTTTTATTTGTAAACAACCAACAAGAAAATTGAAAATATACATTGAATTGCTTTTCATCTTCATTCTCACATTTGCACTCATCAACAATCACACATAATCACTTTTGTTGATCTTTGCTTTGTCGAGGTGATAACGTCCAAACTTAGGAATTGTAAATCTAGTTTGGGTTAAGATTTCAGTGGGATTTTCTTGAATAAAACCATTGGGGTTTTGTTCTCCAAGATTTTGGTGATTTGGGGGGTTTTTGCACAAATCATTGCATCACAGATTCATCTGAGTGAAAGGCTTGAAGAACGGTGGGTTCGGTCAAGCAAGTAACGGTAACCAGAGGATTGTGTTGAAAGATTTGGGGTCAAATGTCTTGTGATCGAAATCATCTGAGCGAAAGACTTGAAGAACGGAAGATTTTGTCTAGTAAGTAGCGGCAACCAGAGGTTTGTTCGAAGCGTTTGATGCACTTGATTTGGCTGGAATCAAGGGGGGAGAAGTGGATAGAATCAACATCAACAATTAAGTTTGAGTGTGTGGAAGCTATAACTTCTCTTATACAAAACTTTGCAACTAGATATTATACATATCTCAATTCGAGTTTTAGAATTGAGGCAGGCGTACCCAAAGCGAGGACGAAAGTAGAATTGCCTAAACAAATCGGGTGTCATTTTCTCTCTCTCTCTCTCTCTCTCTCTCTCTCTCTCTCTCTCTCTCTCTCTCTCTCTCTCTCTCTCTCTCTCTCTCTCTCTCTCTCTCTCTCTCTCTCTCTCTCTCTCTCTCTCTCCTCTCTCTCTCCCCCCCCCCCCTCTCTCTCCCCCCTTTGTGTTGTTAACGTTTGTGTGAAATCAACTGTTAGATACATTTCTATTGATTTGTAGTGCTGAAAAACTGTTTTGAAAATTTATTGCAACCACTTTGATTGCAATTGTGAAAACATTTGCACTATCATTTCATAAAAAATTGAACTTGGGGTGTTGTGCACACAAAGTGTTCGACATATTAATCACACACAAACTGTTCGTAAAATTGTCAATTTAATTTTACCATTTATAATTCATTGAAAACCGGTTAATTCAAAGTGGTCTTCATTTGAATAATTTATTGTGAAAATTATTGATTCGTTTATCTCATCAACTTTATTTCATTCGACTACGCATATCCGATCTTACTAATAAGGTTCGTTTAGACGATTTTAAATTCAAGACCACTTCCACACATTTTTAAAACAATTTTTTAAGCGGTGATTTTAATAAAAATTAATAATCTATTCAACCACTTCTTCTAAATCAATGTCAATGTCTAACAAGTATATGTTCCAACATTTATGATACACAACAACTATATGTTCCAACATTCCTACTACACAACCTGTTCCTACCCATTCCATTTGTCTAAAATGCCAAAACTCTAAATCAATTGTGAATTGCAAAGATGAAACTCTGACTAACATTACTGGTAGTAGTAGCAGTTGCTTTGGAAAGGGATTACCAGTACCATCAGATGTTCATTGAAACTTTACTAGATATGTAAATAAAATATTTTTTTTGTTTGTTTTTGTTTGGGCCAGAATTAAATTAAGTTTGTATAATAGCAGAAAAGCCTAATAGGTGCCATTAGGTGTAGGGTATGCCATTATTCTCATTTCAGGTTCTACCTTTGTACATATCATGCACATATCTTTCATTTTTTGACATTAAACATTTCATTCAATGACTTTGTTTATCATGTACATATTCTATAGACTTTAAAAAGTTCATAAGATAATATGTTTAAATTCATACATATTATATGCATATATGAAATATTGCAGTCAAAAGTTCACTAATTCTAACATGCACATGTAGTGATCTAGCGACACCTCAGGAGCAAATATATGAGATTGCCCAAAAAGAAAAGTACAAATATTTTAAATATCAAATGAGTATACAAAAGAAAGCACAAACATGTTTAGTCTTGATATACCCTCAAAAGATAACTTTTACATTTATTGGAGCCACAAAGCACTGGGTCAAAGTTCTGGGAGATGATGGAATATGCACAACCTGGCCCTTCCTAATGTCTAATTTTTCTCCCCGTTTTTTCACAGGTTTTTCCATGAGAGGTAATTCTATTTGATCAAAGGTCGGATACTAAATATGGACAGTTTCATTCTACATAATTTCGCAAGCATATCTTTCTGATTATCACTGATGTGTATATTACCATTCTGCTTCAACTATTATTAACACATTCCTTTTGTTACCACATTACTGTCATCGCAACAAGTTTTCTACCTCTTCAACTTACCTGTATAAAACTGAATCGATGTTTGGCTTTAACAGTCCACATTAGCCTGTAACACACATCAGAGGTTTGTAATACAGTGCGTGCATTCATCTACAGCTTGATAATGCTATTACCTCTAAGCTTGTTGGCCACAGCTGCAATCCAGGCTCTGTCTTTGATACCAAATGCATATCTTGTGGCCGAGACCAGCAGAATAAATCCTGCCGGTTTCTGCGAATCGGTAGCACTCTCCATAGAAACTTGTAATATTGGCTGCACCAGAAGAGAGCGAGCCCCTTTAGGTACAAGATCCTGAAATTCAGAATCTGAAACATTCATCAAAATTCAAATTATTTGAACTAAGGTACAAGACAATGCTAATAAAAAAAAGGTACAACACAATGTTCAAAGTGAAGCGCAAGTCATGTTAATAGGGAGCGGATTCGTTTAATACGATAAGACGATAAGAAATGTAACGTCGAGAACTTGTCAAATATCTTACAAGGGAAAAGAAACAAAACTTCATACAATTTGATACCTGCATCTTGTGGAAAATATAGAGTCTCCTTCAAATTGTTGAGGCCAGCCTTTTCAATTTTGTTGCTAAACTGTCCAAGAAGAATTTCTTTTGATGAATCATCGATTACGTTCCAGTAGCCCCTTGCACATATTTCTCCTTGAATCAAAATGAGCTGAACACATTGGAATTGCTCGAGAGAATAAGGTAAATGAATAAAAAATTAAGAGCAGAAAAAAGTGCTTAGTTGATTGAGAGAATAAATGGTAGCACCTAATTGAGCCAAGAGATGAATGAACTTGATGTTTACATAAATGATGATAATCTATGTGACGTACCGCAGCTATGGCATTAGTATTACGCAGCAAAATATATGACGTCCAAGCTAGGTCTTCCTTCCGACCATCCGCTATATCGGTTGACATGACAAATATTTGTTGTGTTCCATCTGGAAGAGTTGTCTGATCCACTGGTTGAGCCCCCTAACAATTTTCCAGACATTTATGAGGATCAATATTATATGTGAAATACATCAAAATTGAGCTCCTTACACTAAAAGCAAGAGATTAGGTTATGCTTCGATTGACTTATAAAAAATTTATTTGAACTTATCTACTAACGTAAACGTAAACACCTGTGTTAGCATTCGAGACATGTTATGAAAAAGATAATGTCAGGTCCATAATTGTGAGAGCTAATGAAAACGACGTATGATATGTTCATATGTTGTTTTCAACTTTTTTACACAAGTTCATCAGGTGTGTGTTTGGTTTTGTGGCAACAAAGTTGGTTTTGAATGAATTTATTATGCAAAATTGATTAAAACTAAAAGTGAGTTGAAAGTAAAGTGACTTATTTTTTTATGCATTCATAAAAAGTGGTTTGAACAATAAAACGAAGCTAAAAAAAAGTATTTGTAGATGCAAAAGCTTCATATTCTAAAGGAAAAACACATTATATTCTACTGCACAACATCCAAACATATTCAAATAAAGTTTAACCTTTAGATTGTGGAGAACCTATCTACCATATTTAATTGTTTTCATTCAAATTCTTCATTCCAAAAAAAATCATATACATGGATAAAGTTACCTTGAGAAATTTACCAAGGTATGGCAGAAGAATTGAGAAGGAAGCCAAAGTCAGACCCAAAACCTCTGTTCTCTACATATAAAAGAAAACACACCAACTGAAAATCACCTCACAAAAACAAATGAAGTTTAAAAACAGTTTTATTTTCATCTCAAGTTAAACTTTAAAGCAATATCCAAATTAATCTCCCACAGAAACTACTTAGATGAGACCTTGTGAGAAATGAAAACTGAATATTCATTTGCATAACCAAAGCATATTCAACCAATTAAATAAATAAAACTGAATAATAAAAGGAAAATATATCTGTTTCTATATCTATATATCTATACATAAAGATGAAATCTTACAAGCTGAGGTGGTGTAATAGTGGAAAAATCAGAACCAAGGAAGTGATTTAAGATGAGAAGAGAACCAAAAGCGTAACCAATCCATCTAGGCAAGTAAGATTCATCAAAGCCAGGTATTCCTAATGTGAAGCGAAGAACGGAGAGGTTGAGCTGCTGTTGTTGTTGCTGGGTTGTTGTGTTGGTGGAATTGGGTGGCTGAAGATTTGCACGAAGTATTGTTGTTGATTTTGTAGAGAAGGTTTTGGGGAAAAGAAATTTGTTAGGAGGAATACAGGGTTTCAGTGATAGAATGGTTATGTTGTTCATCTTTTCTTTTCTGGTTAACGTTTCTCCGGTTATTGCTACTCGCACACTTATTTTAGTGGTGATTTTGTAAAACTGTTTTTGGTTACATGTACTGATTTTGTGATTAAGAAAAAAAAGTCAAATATGTTATAATAAAAAAATATTACTAGTAGTATTATTATTAGTTAGAAATGTTTAGATAGAAATATTCATCTTAATCAAAATGATGGATTATTGAAGATGTATAATTTGTCGAAGTTAAAATAAAAATATTAATTATTATATTAATATAATAGTTATATTTTTAGTAGTATAAATATTTTTATTGGTTAATGTAAACATACCAATTTTTTTTTAAAACATAAGTGAGATGTTCTATTTTTCTAAATTTTATTATTTCTCAACACGGTGTTATTATTATTATTATTATTATTATTATTATTATTATTATTATTATTATTATTATTATTATTATTATTATTATTATTATTATTATTATTATTATTATTATTATTATTATTATTATTATTATTATTATTATTATTATTATTATTATTATTATTATTATTATTATTATTATTATTATTATTATTATTATTATGGTTATATAAAATTGACAATCTGTCAAATAATTTATAATTAGAGTTACTATTCTAGTTATTATTGGTTTACCCTTTCTTATAGAAAATTAACAATTTATCAAGTTCTCTATAATAAATGTGACTTTAATCATTTAAATTTTGTGCAGAGGTTAAAACTCATACGCAGATATTAATTTTTATATTTAAATGCTAACTTTTATATTTAATTGAGGTCTAAAATTTTATATGCAATTACTAACATTTTATATTTGATGGAAGTCTAAAACCACATATGCAATTACTAACTTTTATATTTAGTTGAGGTCTAAAACCCCATATGCAATTATTAACTTTTTATTTCCAATGGAGATTTAAAACTTATATGCAGTTACTAACTTTTATATTTAGTAGAGATCTAAAATCCTATGTGCAAATACTAACTTTTATATTTAATATAGGACTAAGATTTTAGTATATAATATTGCCTCACGAAAAAATTTCATTTGATATAATTAAAATTACTAATTTCTTATATCATATGTGTTCATTCACAATATATGCTACATCTTATAATTACCTTTAACACTTGTAACAATTATATGATATTTAGCACATTTAAAATTTGACTTGATGATATTTAACACACTTAATTTTTTTTCTTCCTTTTTTCCTTTTTCTCCAAAGGTAACTGTAACGACTATTTTACAATATTATGTCTATATATAACTCAATTTCGTTCATAATTTTCTCATAATTCTCAAATATTTATCCACATCTACTTAAATGTTTTTTCTTGTTCAGGGGTGGACCCACACCCAGCCTGAGGGATGCAATGGCACCCCGAAAATTTTCAAATTAGGCTTAATTATTTTATTTTAAACCCCTCAACATTTTAATTTGCACCTAGCTCAGTATCATATTGCATATACTACTTTGATTTTGAAGCGTGTGAAGAGGTAAATTCTTGAGCAATTCGTCTCGTTTTGTTTCTTCATTTGATGACGAGAGTTATAACAAGCCCTGATGATAGTTAAAAGCATATCAAAGTACTTTTATTCTAATGTAGTGTATCATAGTCTTGTAGTTTGAATTTGTAAGGGTAATGTTGTTGTTGTATTATGTTATGGTACCGTGTTTGAAGGCTTGGCACATCTTATACCTTAATTCCCCTATTTTTATTAAGGGTTAAATATGTTTTTAGTCCTTATAAAAATGACACCTTTCAAGTTTAGTCCTTATAAAAAATTTCTTCAAACTTTGGTCCTCATAAAGTTTTCCGTCTCACAATATGGTCCCTCCCGTTAGTTTTCACTAACAGAAGCTTATGTGTCATGCCACATGTAATTGCAACTTTGATTACGTGTAATCTGTGTTATTTCAATTCACTAGCATGGAAAATGAAGATAAGAAAATCCTGTAAATGTTAGATAAGTCAAACTTAGTTATATGCCTTAGTAGAAGGTGCACAACAGTCAATGAAGAAGGAGTATTGGATTCACACAAGTCTGGAAAGAACGGACATTCATTCGTGCAATACATAAAAGAAATTTGTTTGTTTGTTGTGGTCACAAAGCGACATCTTTAGAGTGGTTCCAAAAAGAAGATACTGAGAAGGCGAGCAAGTGGTCCCAGGTAAGATGCAATTGTTTTCTTTATGTTCCCTCATTTGAATATCATATGCTTTCCTTTCTCAGTGGTCTTTTTCCTTATTCAATTTGTTATTTTATTGTATATTAAGTTTTTGTTCGCCTATTGTAGAAAAAATTAGGGTAAATCATTTTTACATTGTAATGGTAAAATTTAAACATAGGTTAAATATTGTGTACAGAAAATAGATAGTTTCAGGGTTGTTTTTTACTTAAAGGGTCGTATTGTAAAAGACCCTAACATATGATATGAGGGAGGGGATGTTTATGCCTTTAATGGTCAAGACCCTGATTATTGACCTTCCTTTGAAGCATGTGACCTAATTAAGTTGATTGAACATGAGTTTGATATAGTTAGTGTTAAGATGTGGTGGAAACATGATGAAGGATCATTTGAACACGACTTAAAACCTTTTAAGGATGACGGTGATGCCTCTGAGTTAGCCATGTATGCTATAGGAAATAAGTCTGATATTGTGATATTTTGTGAGCCCAAAGTTGTAGGAGAGGATACCTTTATGGATAGGTTTAGATAAAGGGGAAAGGGAATCAAATGTGATGAAGATGTTGACAGGTTGGTTGAAAAAAGTGATGATTCTAGTGATGAATCTATTAGAAAAGTTCACTTTGATGAAGTGTTTGATGAAGGAGTTAAAGTAGAACAAAAAGATGGAGCTGATGTAAATGAAGAAGGCATTACTCATGTAGACAAGAAGATGTTTATAACTAAAGAGATGGGTAAGGAACATGTCATTGAGGATGCCTACATGACTGATGAGTTAGACAGTGGTGGTGATGATGATAGCTGTGATGAAAGACCCTGTGTAATCAGGTTTAATCAAGAAGAATCTTTAAGTAAGGATTTTTTTTTCAAGGTGGGAATGGAGTTTTCTTCTTTGAGGCAGTTCAAAGATGCAATATGGAGCCCAATGTTTTGAATGGTAGGTATGTTAAGTTTAAAAAAAATGATGCTAACATATGTAGGGTAGTTTGTAAGGATAACAAAAAATGTGATTATACAGTGTTGTGTAGTAGAGTTTTAACATCCACCATATTTAGAATTAAGACTTTGTTTGCAAAGCACAAATGTGGAAGACAATTCTTCAACAAAAGTGCCAAAGCAGAGTGGGCGGCCAAGGTAATTATTGATGGATTGAAGAACAAATCTAGGATGAGGTTAAGTGAGGTAGTATCAGATGTCAGACAAAGGTATGCAACAGAAATTCCAGGTTGCAGAGCATTCAAGGAAAGACAGATTGCAAGACACATTGTTGAAGAAGATTCTAGCTAGCAATTTAGTCTTTTATGGTCTTATGCTGCTGAGTTAAGAAGGGCTTCAGCTGGGAATACTTTCAAGATCAACAATAGTGTTCCTAGTTCTGGCTTAAAACCAAGATTTGAAAGGTGTTATATGTGTTTTGATGGGACCAAGAATGTCTAAAAAAGGCATGCAGGCCATTCATTGGTCTAGATGGGTGTCATTTAAAACACAAGTATGGTGGGATTTTACTCATTGCTGTTGGGAGAGACCCAAATGATCAACATTTGCCAATTACCTTTGCTATTGTTGAGACTAAATCAGAGGATTCATGGAGCTGGTTTCTAAAATTGCTTATTGAAGACATATGAGATGGCAGATGGTGTTTCATCTCTGACCAACAAAAAGTAAGTTGTAATTTCATCAATATTTTCCATATGATAATTTTCAACCAATTGAATGTACTAATGCAAATAATGTTTTCTTGGCTTAGGGTCTTGTTTAGGTTTTTGAAAAGGAGTATCCTGCCTATGAACACAAGTTCTATTTAAGGCACTTGTATGCTAAATTCAAAAAAAAGTTTGGAGGAGGAACCTTGTTTAGAGACCTTATGATGGCTGCAGCAAAAGAAACTTTTGGGATCTTGTTGGGATTCCTTGTAGACATGGTGTGGCTGCCATACATAGGAAAGTGGATGACCCTGTGAAATATATGCATAAGTGTTATCACAAAAGCACTTATGAAACATGTTATAGTGAAATTATCACCCATTTGAATGACCAAAACAAATGGCCAAGAACATCAGATGAAACCATGATGCCTCCTATGTTCAAACGTGGCCCAGGTAGGCCCAAGAAACTTAGAAGGAGAGAGCCAGATGAAGTAAACCAGACAAAGTGGCAAAGAACCAATATAAGCCATATGTGCAAGGCTTGTTTTGAACTAGGTCACAACAAAAGGACCTACAAGAAGAACAAGCAGATTATGGTTGACCCTCTGGTAATACCACCCAGGCCACTCAAGACTTGCCCACCCAGCCCAGTCAAGAATTGCCAAACCAGGCCACTCAAGACTTACTTACACAAGCAAGTCAGCCTAGCAAGGTCAATTTGACACCCAAAAAAAGGTATTGTTTAACTTAAATCTGACATTTATTGAATGTTTATCTAGGTATTTTGTGCAATGGTATCAATGTGGATTATTTGTTTTTTTTTTGTGTGCAGGGGAGGCTTAAGGGAATAACCACCAATTGTACATCTAAGGGGGAAACAAAGAAGACAAATATGGAGGAGGGAATAGTTAGAGATGCATCATTTAATATGGAACAAGCAAAGTCAACTGTCAAAGAGGCAAAGTCAAATGTCAAAGAGGCAATGTCAACTGTCAAGGAGGGAAACTCAAGTGCCAAGGAGGAAAAGTCAGGTGTCAATAGGGAGAGTCAACTACCAAGGAGGGAAAGTCATATGCCAATGAGGGAAAGCCATGTGCCAATGAAGGAAAGTCAAGTAAGGCTAATGAGGGAAAGGCTAATATTGA